CACCCTGAGACACACTGAGACACACTGAGACACACAGGGGACACACCTGAGCACACAACATTGGGACACACCGGACACACAGGGACACACTGAGACACATCAGGGACACACGGGGGACACCACAGGGACACACCTGAGAACACTGAGACACACCTGAGACACCACTGAGACACACTCGAGGACACACTGAGACACACAGGGACACCACCTGAGACACCACAGGGACCACCCTGAGACACACAGGGACACCACTGAGAGACACAGGACACACCTGAGACACACCTGAGACACACTGAACACACTGAGACACTGAGACACACCGCGCGCACCACCTGGAGACACACCGAGGGACGACACCTGAGACACACCTGAGCCACCTGAACACACTGAGGACACACAGAGGACACACAGGGACAACACCTGAGACTCACTGAGTACCACACCTGAGACACACCTGAGACACACCTGAGACACACTGAGACACACTGAGACACCAGGGACACACCTGAGGACTCAGCTAGGACCACACTGAGAACACACTGAGACACCAAAGGGACACACCTGATACCACACTGAGACACACAGAGAACACCTTGAGACACACCTGAGACAACCACCAGAGACACAACCTGAGACACACGTGGGACCACACTCTGAGGACACAACCTGAGACACACCTGAGGTACACACTGAGACACACCTGAGACACACCTGAGACACACTGAACAACCAGAGACAACAGGACACACCCTGAACTCACTGAGACACACCTGAGACACACCCTGGAGACACACCTGAGACACACTGAGACACACTGAACACCACAGGACACACCTGAGACTCAACTATAGACACACTGAGACACACTGAGACCCAAAGGGACACACCTGAGACCCAGCCTGAGACACACTGAGACACACAGAGGACACACCTGAGACTCACTGAGACACACTGAGACACACTGAGTAACACAGACACACCTGAGACACACCTGAGACACCACTGAGACACACAGAGACACCAGAAACACCTCGAGACACACTGAGACACACTGAGCACACACTGAGACACACGGGGGGAAAAAAACATATTTGTGTTATTTTTAAATTAACTATACCCTTTTAACTGAGTTTTGTTCTCCATTACAATACACTGTGTGTTCTTGTAACGAGCTGAGGCGTCCTAGTTGTTGCTACAGGAGAAGAAGAAAAATTGACTTCCTGTTAGAGACAATGTGCTGACAGTGAAACACCAGCACTCTGCCCTGCTCCTCACGTCCTGTTTCCTGTACACACCACACACACACCACACACACACCACACACACACACACACACACAACACACACACACACCACACACACACACACACACACACACACACACACACACACACAACACACACACAGAGGCCATATGACATTTGTTGTTTTGAACTAAGCAGTTGTGCAGACTGACCGTTGAGCGGCCGCCCGCCAAGCGAGGAGGCAGGGCAGAACGTCCAAAGAATACTAACGCCGACTTGGCAGCTTATTAAAATCATGTGCACAAAGTTCCAGCCTCAATCCTGCTGTTCTCCCTGAACACATTCCTGCAGGGGCCACATAGATCTCACACACCCTACCCGCCTCCAAACAGACAGGGACACAGAGCCTAAATACCTACACCAGAGTTCCCGTTAGCCGGTAATTACCGGACTACGACCGTTAAAATATGCTGAAGACCGGCAAATCTAAATCTCTCCGGTCAAAGCGTCCGGTCAAAATATATTTCCCCTTAGCGCAATACCGCATCAGTAGCGCAACTTGCGCCACTTATGTGACAGACAAGAAGAGTATGTGACAGACAAGAATAGTCAATTCTAATATCTAACACTTAATGTGGAGAAAGAGATGTCCTGTATGGGTTGATTGTGCGTTGATCTGTTGGTAATGCCTCGGGGTTCCGGTGGGCATGTAAACAAATGCATAATGCTGCGCTATACTGTGTGGCCTCATCCAGTTGCATAGCGACGCTTATTGTTTAGGTGTCTTTTAATAAGCAGGTAGTCATATCATTAGCTAAAACTAGCTGGATCTGATCGATATGGACATAAACAAGAGTGAAGTCTAATCTGACGGGAGAGAGAGATCAGCTGCTGCTGACGAGTCGATACGCAGCTCTGCATGATCACATGCAGCGGTGAGCGGAACTAAACACACACTTCAGGTTAGAATATCACACGTAGCTATTTGAATTACCTCTCAAACTACCGTAACTAGTTATAGATATGTTTAGTTTCACTGTCGGGTCACTCATTACTGATCTGTGAGCTGCATGAGGCTGACGGGCTGTCAGGAGAGAGAGGGAGAGCGCTCCGTTTATTATTCCCGTGTTATTGTAAATTACTGTTCACTTTTGAATAATGTAGTTAATCTACTATAATTAGTTTGTTTCATATCGAATCATATCAATTTGTTTTAAAGCTCAATAAATAACAAAGAAGATGTACATTTTGATTGAGTCAATCTTTATGATTTAAAAGACATATATTAAAAAACAAAAACTGCTATGCTAAGGTCGGAAAGATATTGCTGTCACTGGTTTCAAGACATGTTTCAAGGAGAGGATACAATGCATAGAGTCTAACTTTAAATAATATGGTACATGATTGGCAGGAGGATAGAGACGTGAGTTTATGAAGGCAGCCTCTACCAGTGTCTCCACAAACATCACAACATGTTTTTGTATGCCATCATTAAATTGTAACTTTGCAAGAGTTGGCTGTCTGTCTGTAACATTGTCACTTTATCTTTAAGCACCGACACTACAGTAACAGTATGAAGTGTTGGTAAACAGGCAGCACACCTCAGAATAGAATACACAAAACTTACCGGGAACTTTTACAGTCTAACACTTCAACTGGATACTGAGGTATTCATGCTTGCGGAACCACTCACAAATCCATACTTCAAGAGTTTTTAGTCTATTTGGAAATCTTTCAAGCATAGGTCAAGGTTACAATAAACAAAGCTATTACTTGCACTTGATTTTTTCACATATTCCAAGAGCTAGTGAAGAACACATTCTCGTCGGATGAGATGCTAGGACAAGTTGAATTTCAAGAGCTCTCCTTTTCAGCTTTCAATTTTATCTCTTAGTCCTTCCCCTCTGTATTTCACTTCCCTTTTGTCTGTCCCAGTGGAATCAGATATGAAAGGTGATAAGGAGCCAGAAGGAAGCAGAGCTATGGATGAGGACCAGGAGCAGTAAAAATGTAGCGGTCCATTGTTAACTCTGGAGGGTGATATTGATTGGTGCTGTGTTAAGTGAAGCATCAACACTGTAATTGCGGCCAAGGCAGGCTCGTAAACATGTTGCCTCCATCCTGACCTGCTTCTGCAACTCATCATTTCATTAAATTATGAATATCTGACCTTCACTGCAGACCTAGTCCTTGTTAGTTGTGTAGCTAATAGTTTTATGTTTTCTGCTCACATGGATACTAGATAAAACCACAATAAAACATTATTATTTAAGAAATCTAGCTATACTTTTTTTACAATACTTTTTTAAACTTAAAGGAAAGATAAGGTATCATTTTGCTTTTGTATTATTTTCTTTCTGCCAATATGCTGTATACCAAAGTGCATTCATGAGATACTTAATACCCACTGTGACATGATGCAATATAAAACAGACAAAAGGGGATTCAGAAAAAAGGGACATTTTTCTTTGTGGTTTTAATTCGAAGTTAAAATAACAACAACTGCATTTCAGCAAGTTGCATCAGTAGAAGACACCATACGGAGTTCAAAGTCAAATCCTGAAATTGAACAAGTGTGTCCCTTTCATGGTCTAAAAGTTGTCATTTCAGTCTCAGATCAAATGTGACACTCAGTGCCGAAATGAGGCTAATATATTTGCAGGGTTGGACGTAGCCGCATTGTCATAAAGCCCCCATTTGCAAAGTTCATTCTTAAGACTTCAGTCCTTCCTATCAGAGATGGGAATGAAGCCTCATAACTCAAAGTGTCAGGAAGAAGGCTTGATGGGAATGTAAATACAAGTTGGAAAATGTATGTTTTTCTGTAAAGCCCAGGCACTAATACAGATAGACCTTAAAGGACCACCTGCCCGTTTGCCCTTCTATTAGAGAAGGGCCCTTTTTTTCAAATCAACACATATTCTCGGGTCTGACTAGCGTGTGTAGTCTAAACCCGCTTACGGTATTGCAGAATATGCATTCTGATTGGCTGTGTGATTCACCCATTGTGACCCGGTTCATTTACTGTAATGTAGCCGTGTTTTAACCTAACCTCATTGGTTTGTTTTTAATATATACATTTAAATACCCCTTTAACACTGTCACAAAAGTTGGACCAGGCATATATTTATTTCATTAGTAACAAGAAGTGCAGGCGTGCCCTTTGATTAATGTTTAGCTCCTGCCCCTCTAACCTGTTCAGCTGGTGCCTGGTATGTGTGTGGGTCAGTGAGTGTGTGCTGTACCTGTCCCCATGTCAGTGTGCTCCTGAGACAGGTGCTGGCTCTGGTGGACCCATTCTCCGTTGCACTTGAAGAAGATCTGGAGAGCGGGCCGGGCTTGGCACCGGAGCTTGATGGGGTTGCTCTTGATGATGTAAGCATCAACCGGCTCCTCCAGGAAGTGAGGCAGGGTCCCGGACTGGCCATGTTGCAGGGCTTCCCCTCGGGGGCCTGGAGAATAAACGAGAAAGAGCTTAGGCTCAAAAGGAACAGACAAGGAATTGAGTGGTAATTATTTATCCACAACAGCAAGATGGCTGATTTAAACCATCTCGGATTCCTTTCCTGTCAACTAACCCGGCAGTGAAATGTTGTTTTCGACACACACAGAAACACCTCACAACTAGCCCACTCTCTGTCTTCCCCCAGCCTCCCCCATCCCTCACTGTCTCTCTCCCCCCTGCAACCAGACCCAACTAGCAGCCATTACTCCTTACAGCGACGCCTCCCTCAAACAAATTGTTTTGGAACACAACGTGAGAAATAACACAACAACACAACATCACCCGCCCCCACCCGCCGTCTATTCTCTGCCACAGCATTGCAATACAATAATTTACAGAAAGCACTGAACAACAAATCCTCCGGAGACACACCATGTTCAATATTTTATTTTCACAGGGAGCTAGGCTACACTAGATTTTGCACATTTGCAAAACATTTATGATAAAAAATGCATCTTTGTTTGTTTTTTAATTAGTGTATGTGTGCTTATAACTAAAATGTTTGACATGTGAGGTGTCAGCGTTCTGAAGCACTGGGTAAGAGTGATCTCATTGCACAGTTGGTTCAATTTATTTTTCTTTTTATGGTTACAATTAGCCACAGTAAAAACAAAAAAAAACAGTTCTGTTGGATGGTAACAAGAAATCCTAATTTCTATGGAATTTTTCAAGGGATAATGGAAGAGACAGGACCTGAAAAGTGCAGCATTTCTTAATCACAATGTAATCCTGCTTTAGCTATGTATACGTTTGTTTTGAAAACCTCTGTGCAATAGAAAGGTGTGACATGAACAGAAACAAAACAAAAAGTAGTGCAAATCATTGGAATATAAATCAAATTGAAATTCAACGAGATAGAGATGTCCGTATGCTGCTCAGACAGATCTGCTGTCCATAAAGACTCCTTTGATCTCTCAGATGTTGGTGTTCACTAGAGACGCTTAATTCATTTGAAGAATTCACCGACAACACATTGGCATCACATTTAACAGGCAATACTCCCTTCTTCTCTCCCCGTCTGAGGTGTGTTCCAGTCAGCGCACGTTTTGCTACTTCTGAGGCCCCGAAAGTGTAATTACACTCCGTCTAATCCCCTAGTTTGCTGGAACCTCTTTCATGCAAGTGTGAAGGGTTTAGTGAGGCAAACCGTCCCGCGCTCGCCCCCCCGATCCCAACTCCCCACTGCATGCTCCTCCACAGTGATGGGTGTACCTCCGAAAACCCCATCAGGATTAGAGAACCCACTCTCTCTTTCTCTCTCCAGCTAATCTAATCCTCCTACCTTTCCTGGTGGATGTCTGCTGATTGAGGAGAACAGATAAAAGACTCCCTGATTCCCTGCCTGTGAAAATCACAGAACAAACTCAGTGCTCCTTTCAACGCGACATGTTCTCCCCCCCGTTCCTGGAACCCGGGCTGAACAAAGAGACATGCTTTTAATTTCAAAATGACTAGCCCCAGGCAAGCTTTTCTTGTAAAGAGAGCACTCCAATTTGTTTTGCACATGGAGCAATGACATGGTGTGTTTGTGTTTGGATAGATGCAAAACATAGACGTGAGTGCGCACCCCGGATATGATAGATGGGAACATGAATAAACAGCTGTCAAACAAAACCCCAACCCTCCAAGTAATGACTCATTTGTTAAAAGATCAGGTATTATTTCAATCCTTGCCAACATGACAGTTTAATTCCACGGCTGCTAATACCTTAAATAACAACGTCAACAGGGGCAAGGTTTTAGTAAAGCATTACCGGCTTTATTTCAGAGGTACCTGTCTGTTCATTTTTTATTTAACAGGTGGGATAGAATTGCAGCAGACATATTAAGCGCGACACAAGGAAAGACACTCTGGTGTGATTTAACCTCAGGCTGGTGGTGGGACATGTGACTCAAGGGGGAAACACAAGCACTTCACTGGAAGAGCGAAGCGTTCTCTTTGAAATGGCTGAATATAGATCACAAAGTGCAACAGCAGGCAGGGTCTATAAGGATGCCCCCCCCAGCTGTGCACCTCGTAGTAAGCACAAACATGGAAATGAGCTGACACTGTTATTGGTTCTCCCTCATGTTCCCAGGAAGGGCCGAACAACAATATGTCTCCTCAATATGCTGCTCCGCTGTCATTCAGTAGACCGCTCGCTCGCTCGCTCCCCCCCCCTCACAGTTTTCACGGTGATCTACAGCCATTGCCTCCGCCCGGCAATAACACACGTGGGGCACAGATACATCGAGCCCAGTTTGAGGGGAAAACAAGATATCGCTGCCAAAGGGCTGAGTGATGGCTCTATCAAACATCCGCTCTCTGCCTGTGTCGCACACTAACAAACTTTAGCCCTGGAAGAAACACACAGGCTGCTAACTTGTACTTTACATGAGTAACTACATTTGTTGCACTTTTACTCCACTAGAATTCAGAGGTAAATCGTGTAATTTCACTCCACTACATTTGGATGCATGTTGTGAAATATAATCAAGTGTTAAATCAGACTTTAGTTCCACCTGGAGTAAATTCACAAGCTACCCTGCAGTATACAAAGTCATTCAAACTAGCTGCACCTTTACCAGCTTTGAGAACACTTTAATGATCAATCATTATAAAACATATCATATATATTATTCTGAAATGGACCAATCTGCACAATGACTACTTTTACTGTCGCTACTTTCACTATATTTTGATGATAATACTTTTCTACTTTTACTTGAGGAACATTTTGAATGCAGGACTTTTACTGCGACCGAGTATTCAAACACTGGTACTTTTACTTTTCCCTCAGTACAATATCTGAGTAGTGTGTTGCAACCTTAAATGAAACGTTGGAATCTCCTCAAGTGCAGCAAAAGCTCCATCTCCTCACATGCAAAATTAAAAGCAATGGGTCTCTTTTGTCAGTTCAATGTATTCATAGCTTTTAGTGGGAATTCTAAAAGAAATGAAGAGGAAGGAGCCCCTAGCTGACTGGACTAAATTGCTAAAGCCTTTGGGTGGTAGCACAGGCTGCTTCACACAGAGAAGGATGACTTTTGCTCCAGCACACTCTTGATTTGGAGAGACTGAAGGCAGCAGCCAGGCAGAGGTTTGCCAAATGTTTCATCCTGCAACATCATATCCTGGCGTCCACACTCCTGTCCTGTTTCAATCTCAAACACCAGCAGATCCTGTCCAGAGTGTTCTCTTCCTGATGCTCTTTGTTCTTTACACAAGCAACTAGGGGACTGAAGCAAAGCCCACATCATACCATGTGCAGATGGACATTGTTTTTTAAAATCTTCCAGCTTTGATTCAAGATCATGGCCAAATGAAGTTCATACAGTGAAGCAATGACAATCACAAAATTACAAAACAAGGAAATGCTGTGGATGTTACAAGTCAAGATGTCAAAAGTAACACACATCCAGTATTGGTGAAGAAACAGAGCAACAAAACTGCTTCTCGGGTCCTATTGATGATGATAAGCTCTTGAAGGCAGCGCCAACCTGGACAACAAGACTTTGAATGGCTCTCATACAGCGAGCGGCTCCACTTCCTGTGAAGCAGAACTGATTGCAAAAGGATCCTCTTTGTTAAGAGGCTGTTGCCCTCTGAACCTGAACCCCCCCCCGCCTCTGCTGCGCATTACAGGAAGTAATTGTTCACACCTCTTTAACACACAAAGCCCTTTGTATGCATGGCATATTGAACACAAGCTCAATCTGATTGTCCTTTTGACAATTTGTTCAGAACAATTAGTGCTGGGTTAATATGGGTCACTGTTGTTTGTGCAGGACCTGGTTCACAACTGCAGCTTTGTGTCACTCCCCTAACAGGGACGCCATCTTTCAACATCATTAAAATACCTTGTTATGGGTTGTTACAATTGACATTTAACACAATTACAGTAAAGGATAAGTTCCCTTTATTTGGTCAGATAAAAAAAAGAAGTGTCTTGGCAAATACTGTAGCACTTTGTGATCATGTTAATAATCTAATATCTGCACTTTAGTTTAGTATGCATTTTAAAGAGGCCCTTTTATGCCTTTCCCTTTCCTGTAGCGTGTTTTATAGGTTTTAGTGCATGTGAATGGTCTGCAGAGGCTAACATTCCTGTGTTCCCTCCAGAGGGAGTCTCTCTCCCACACACACCCCCCCTGCCTGAAACTTCTCAATTGGACTCCTTTGTTTACTTTTGTAACATAGTGACATCACTACCTAACACTCTCGCTTCTATTGGCTAGCGCAAAACATTGTACCTAATATATGCTAAGGGTTGGGAAATCTCTAAGTGGCTGACCAATCACAACAGAGCCGGCCAGCTAACCAATCAGAGCAGACTGGGCTCTGGTTTCAGACAGAGGGTGAAAAGAGGTGCTGCAGCACAGGCAGTATGAGACAAATAAAGAGCTTTTTCAACATTAAAGAATGGAGACGGTTGATGTCCCAGTAGAGGAGCGAAATGCAAATACAGTTTAAACTAAAACAAATAGCATAGTAGGGCCCCTTTCATTTCTAGCTATTTGAGAGTAGGACTTGATAGATTACATTTTAAGGATCTTCCTCAAACAGATAGTAGTTTTTCACAAAATTGTGTCCTGCTTTGGGAACAAAATGATTATTTTACTGTTCGACCCTAAAGTGAACAACTATTCTCAATGTCAGAAGATTGCTGTATACAAAATACATTTCAAATATTTTCAATGTTTCGTAACTCCGTATACATTTCTTGCTCCAAACTACTCAGTACGGTAACTGTTGTTACATCCTCCCTGCACTACACCATGTGTGATGATTGGGTTGATTCATCACACCAAACATGCCTTATTTTCAAAGAGTTATCAAATATAGAAATGTCCTTGCATCTGCAGCATTGCCACTCCCTTCACTTCTCTGGTTGTTATTGCTAGTTCACTTTTTTGTGCTACATTTCCATTTAAATTGGTCTTCATGAACCTTGTTTAATGAGCCAT